ATAGTATTTTTGCCCATAGGCTCATCACCGTCCGAAAAAATCGGGAGGCGTATATTTTTTGACCACCACGGACCTAGTATGTCCGTGACAGTAAAAAAATCACGCGGACCTACAATGGACGATGTAAATCTGTTCAATAAACTGTCACGGATATAGGCAAGTCTGTGGTGGTGGCGAAACACTGTAGCACTTCGGCTATATGCGTCTTTTAGATTTTTTCATATATATATATATATAGGAAATGCTAGTGTTGGCCAGTGAACTACATATGAGACCAACAATTTAGATTCAATCTAGGCCGATTTGACGGGCACAACTTCATTTTATATTTTAATTTTAATTTTTTTTTACAAATCCAAATCACTTGAAATTTTAGACGTCTATTCTTCTCATCAAAACACACCTAACAAAAATATTAAAAAAAAATTTGTAAAATTTAAATTAACCAAAATACCCCTAAAATTTTTTGCAGGTGTTTTAGTCAATTTATTTCTCACGAAATATTTTTTTGATATTTTTATAGGTGTGGGTTGTGTAGAGCCGAGGCTCTAAACAATCAAAGTATAGCACACTTTCAAATAGTATCAAGAAATGTGATTTAAATACTGAAAGTCTTTGTAATAGTCTTAAAATACATTTTCATCTTTAATTATAAAATTTAAAGCTTCAAAAATAGTGTAGATCGAATATATCTATGAAAACTTGATAATCTTGAAAATTAATGGTCAAAAAATGCATTACAAAACACATTATTTCTAAAACTTGAAATCCATTTTTTTCTCATTTCCATGCATCTCGAGATGATCAATTTGAGAATATTTGAGCATCAGAACAACTTCTTCCCAGTGAAAATTTTGAGGTGAGCTCTAATTTGATTGTTTAGAGCCAAGGCTCTATACAAACGTTTTCTTATTTTTATTGGATTTTTTATTGTTAAAGAATATACGTCCAAAATTTCAAGTGATTTGGCTGTATAGAAAAAACATTAAAATTCAAATACGAAATGCAATTGTGATAATTGGATCGAATTGAATTCAATTTGGGCCATTGGGCTTATATGTAGCTGTACGCCCATTGGCCTACGCTAGCATTTCCCTAGATATATATATATATATATATATATATATATATATATATATACGTACTACAATACTATAGTAAATTAATTTATTATTACGTTATACTAAACTAAATTTAGGTTACGTTTTT